GCATCAAAATGCATAATTGATGGCCCGCGGGCCGAGGGTCATGCTCCCTTGAGTCCATTGCATGATAGTGAGTGTAGCCATGCCCACATTTGCTTGAAAATTCCATGCCATACACTACTTGCCCTCTACTGCTGTCAACTGCAGGATTCTGCAGGAAGAAATAGCTGGCCGGCTACTTGGAGTGCCGACCGACCAAATACAATTAGCCGGTGGCTTAACCAATGGTCGATGACCATTCCCTTCGGCTGGTGGTGTTCCCACTTGGTCGGTGATGCTCCCCAGTGTTCAGAGAAGTATCCTTGGGACTTGTGCAAATTTTTAGAGGAACGAGGCAGTGTAAACCGAGGCAACAGTGCTATGGCAGCGAGTTTCTGAGCGGAACGAGTCAAGCATGCATCATTCGCGCATTCTGAGGTAGAGCTGAGCCAGTCGCTTTAGCTTCACATTTAAATTATTTTTGTGATTAATTTGTTAATTAATTAAGAGGGTCTGTAATAATTAATTAGCTAGGATAGTTGATTCATTATTCGGACTGTATTATTCTTTTGGACCCTCTGAGCGGGGGCAATTGTGTAATAAGTGTGTGTGAGTGTGTTTATGTCTTCCAACCCCACTTCTTTCTTCCCTTTTATTTGCTAGCTTTCGATGGTTAGTATTAGGACATATTTAAATTAGCATACCTTATGTTATGCATGCGTGCATTCATACATTTGTCTTGCATGCACCGGGCTCGGCGCATCATACTAACTGCATTGGTGTTTTAATTCCAAATTGAATACGTGTTAGTTGTAGCATTTCGCATGTCATTACTAACTGCATTTGTGTTTCAATTCCAAATTGAATACGTGTTAGTTGTAGCATTTCCCATGTCATTTTAGAATAGCCGAGCCTATTGTATTCGCATTCCTACATGTGTTGCATTAGGCATTTCTGTATAGTTAGGATCATGCATGGATTTCTAACATAGCTTTTGTTTTGGCTTGGAGTACTCGGTAAGCTTTTACGCTTTAGCATCCTTGCATGCGTGTGAGTGTTGCCATGACAGCATGATTACCATGAGGCTATTTGCTTATGTGATATAACTGCTTGAATGCCTGTGGATGGAGGTTGAATTACCTGAATTAGAATAATGCATTAAAACCGTGAGTTTTAAGCCCACTTGATAGTGGCAAAAAGCATCTTTTCTAAAGCCCACTTGAGGGGGGCAAAACCTGCATTTTAGCCTATTTACGAGTAGCAAACTGCTTTCAAAAAACAAACATGAAATGTTTTGTTCTAACTCAGGCGATTCAGTCTATACTTGTATGATGTGCGCATCACATAGTAAATCTAGGCTAATAACCGGAATAAGAATGCATAATGTTTTCAAAACAGGATATCATGATTAGTAGAGGCCGATCTTCGGATCGGGCGAAAGAGGGTGCTCATAGCTGACCTTCCCCAATCGTACCCAAGTTCCCGAGCCGAGGCAACTTTGGTGATGACGGACACGTAGCCTTAGGCAAATGAGTCAGGGTTTCCTAAATTCTCCCAAAATAAAATATTTAGGTGGCAACTCTGTATCTGGCAAAGCAGTCCATGTTTGACACTTCTTTACAAAAATCTTTTTTTTGAAAACGATTTGCCGGATTTGGACTCTTTGGTTCAGATTAAGAACCGTGACAATTAGAGTCCGAACTATAGTAAGCCTAACACGAACAGAACGAGACTCATCCTCCCGGGGCGTTCGGGGACGTCTACAGTTTCTGGCGACTCTGCTGGAGATTTAGAGAACTGGACTCGAACTCGTGATATCTTGTTTTAACTACACTTATGTGTTTCTTTGCATTGCATGTGCATTGGTGTGACTAGGACACCGTGTTGGCCATCTGCTATTCCTAAACGGTTTGCCGGAGGCTTGCCTTGTCAAGGCATGACCATAAGGCTGACCGGTTGCGGGCTCTGCCAGTATGGGAACACAAACCCCTGTTTTTACCGGGGCACCCTGTTGACCATTCGACCTAGTGCATATTCGGAATCCTTAGTGACCATTCCAAACTAGGAAAAGTTACTTACCCGGTGTTAAGTTGTTTGAAACCGCTGCGTGCGTAGTGAAACCCTAGCTCTTGACAAAATAGGATAGGGAAACCCTACCCCAACATAGGGGCGTATTGGCTGTCATTTACTTGCTATGTGCTTTTAGAGTGTATCTTTACAGGCAATGCGCGAATCAGTTTGCAAGTTTGAGAATCAGGTCTGCGGGCACCAGTGTTTGAGAATCAGTTATCTACGGGTATCAGATTCAGTTTTTTCGGGGATAGTGATTCGGGGGGGATAATAATCAGCATTTGAGAACAGTCATTTTAGCTTGTCGACTACGTGTTGTTGTGCCCAACTGCATGTCGTGTGTTTATTTAAGCCATTACGTTGTCCGTTTGTCTATTTATTTATTTCCTTATATGCTTTATTTATCTTTTTGCTAGGTAGTTTAGCACGATTGCTTCTAACCCAGTAGATATTCCCCAAGCATCCTGGATTAGAGGTCGCCGACTCCATTGATCTGAGGATCTGGTAGACGGACAACCAGTGTACTACTCATTACCCCCGGTTCCTAGACGGAGGGCAATCAGGCAGAGAATATCAGTTCAGCGATCAGTCCAAAGGGCTTTATCTACCCCACCTGAATACAGTACAGATCAGGGTTCTGTTTCTCCCGCAGAGAGGGAATATATACCAGTAATTCAATCAGATCAAAGCAGTATGGCAAGCTTAGAGGAGACAGTGTGCCAGCTCCAAGAGAGCATGAAAACTATGCAGCAAGACGCTATCCGACAGGCGGAGTTCGCCAAGCAACAGGCCACGGTTATGACTGAACAAGCAGAGTTAATCGTGAGGCTACAACAGTAAGCCGGAGCATCTGCTTCGCATCAAGCTCCTCCCCAGACAGCTAATGTTCAGAATGATACGGACATTCCCACAGGGCCACCTCCGCCCCCAATCCTACCCCAGATCCTATCCCAGTTATCCAAAACACCCACCAACCTACCGGACTCTCCCATTGAAGTTGAGCAAGCTTGAAAAGTTGTTCAAGAGATCCCAGGAAGTCAAGACCATCCTTGATATTGAAGATGGGTACACCGATGCAGCTGCGACGCTACCGGACCGATTCAAGATGCCGCGCATCGACCGGTTTAATGGATCCAGGGATCTTGTGGTACACCTGTGTTTGTTTTCAAACATCTTAAGGCCGATGGCCTCACCAGACTACAGAAGCTGTCTCCATTTGGCCGGACCCTATCGGGTGTGGCGGCCATCTGGTACGCCAAATTAGAAGATGATGTCAAGAGAAACTGGGACGAGATGGCTGAGGCCTTCATTGTGCAATACTCATATAACACGCAAATCGAGATTATGACCCGTGATCTTGAGACAACGAGGCAGGAGCCTAAAGAGAGCTTTCGGAGTTCATGACCAGATGAAGGGCTAAGGCCTCAATGATGACCCTAAGGCCCACAGATAAAGATCAAATTCGGATGATTGTGTGCAATCTCCAGCCTAAGCTGATGCAGAAAATGATCATGCTCCCCTTCCCTACCTTTGCTGATCTGCATGAGATGGGAGTACAGATTGAGGATGCCTTGAAGCAAGGCTTAATTGATAATGATTGGGAGCAACCCAGAAGAGCTTTCAATCGCAACACCAATGCAGGCCCGAGCGGCGTTACAACTGTAAGAGCCTCAGAAGTGAGCATGGTCACCACCATACCCCCTCCCCCTCCAAGACCCATAGCAGCTACGCCTTTCTACGATGCGTCCGGAAGCAATACACAAACAGCCAGATACCCACCCAAAAACCAAAGAACCTTCGCTCCACTATATATGCCCCTGTCCAAAGCTCCAGGGGTCTTAATCAGAAAAGGGCACTTGAAACCCCTAGAGCCGTGGCCATTGCCGGAAAGACTTCTCCCTACCCACAACCCAGCCAAATATTGCGCATTTCACCAACAGCATGGTCATGACACCGACCAGTGCTTCCGATTACGTCATAAGGTTCAAGATCTCATCGATAACGGGGTGATTTTGCCTCCCGAGAAACCTAATGTTACAACAAACCCTCTCCCACCATACAACCAAGCACCACATCCAAAAAGAATCAATTTTATCCAAACTAGGGTCGTGTCTTACGATCCTAGCATATATATCACTCCTTCCCACCTACCTAAGCCGGACGTGTTCCTTCCTGACTACACTGACTTGTGCATGTTGGACATCTCCAGAACCCAACTAGAGCCAATGGTGATGACCATCGAAGATGGGACAAGGATGATTTCAGAGGAGAATGGGATTGTTGAGCCAGAATCTGAGGAATCTGGGAGTTCTGCTGAGGAAGCCTACAATCCGAGTGATTATATTCTGTCAGTAAGCCAGGTTCGGCCCATTGTAGAATTGCCAGAGAGGGCAGAGTTGTGTATGATCTGAGGGGATGGATTTGAGCAGGGGACAGATAATTTGAAGGCTATGGAAGAGAACCTTGCCAACCTCCAGTTTTTCAATGACCAAGACCCAGGGGACGCAGCAGTCCATTGGTTTGATTATGAGGAATCGGCAGAGGCTACCGGGTGGTTGGATGATCAACCGGATGTTGTGGAAGAGTTCTAACCAGAACAAGGCCCGGCAGGGGCGAGAATGTTAGTGACGGCCGGAAGGGCCGAAGAGTAGAGTACATCGCCAGAGAGCACCAGTGTCAAGAATTTCACTCAGGATCGAAGCATTTTGAATACGGGAATTATTGGGCAGCCAGCTGTACTGACACAGCCGAAACAGGAAAGGTTTGAGGATTCTGAGAGAATCAGGAAAGCTAAAGCCCATGTGGGAACTGAAAGTGTTGTGTGTACAAGGACGGAGAATGCTGTGAGCATGTGGACGGAAAGTACTGCGAGTGTGATCATACCGGAGCCGGACAGGTGTCTGTCGGCTGCCGATGGAATGTGGTGGGAAGACGACGATCTATGTCTTGCCCACATGGATGAGGATTGGGGAAGTAACCAGCCGGACGAAACCTGGTACGTCGACGAGGTTGATCATATGACAAGGAGTGGACGATATTTCAAGCCTCCACATCTAGATCAGCCAAAGGCGTTTGGGAAGGATAAGGAAGCTGAAAAACAGAAGGGGAAGCTACTTGAAGATGAGGCTGTGCTCAAACAGCTTAAAAAGATACAGGCAGACATCTCTATTTGGGGACTGCTTATGGTATCGCGAGTGCATCGACAAGTGTCTTATCGGCCATAGACAAGGCCAAGCTCTCAATAGACACCACGCCCGAACAGCTGGTGGGCTTAGTTTTTTCGGGAGGAGCTGCCCTGATGATAACTTTCTATGACAAGGATTTGCCACCTGAGGGTGCGAATCACAACAAGCCACTCTACATCTCTTTGGAGTGTAGAAATAAATGGATACTGGTGGTTCTTATTGACACAGGGTCCGCCATCAATGTGTGTCCAGCAAGGACTGCCTATGCAATCGGTTTAAAGACCGCGGACTTTGTGCTGACAGCCCAGGTGATTCGGGCGTATGACAACACAAGCAGAGAAGTCATGGGGACAGTGAAAATTCAAACCAAGGTTGGGCTGGGGCTGCATGAAATTGACTTTCACGCCCTAGAGGTTCCCGCCACTTTCAATCTACTCTTGGGGGGGCCGTGGCTGCATCAAGTGAAGGCAGTTTCTTCTGCCTTGCATCAGATGGTGAAATATCCCCATGGAAAGGGAGTAGCCATTGTTTTTGGAAATTCATCAATCCATCCACCGCCGGAAGTATCTACGCCAGTTTTGGAAATTGATCACGGTATGGAGGATGTGTTCATGTCGGGTTTTACCCTAACCGAGGCTCGGGTTGTGCAAAATATCATGGCTGTTAATGAGGGGTTGTATGTCAGTGCTCAGTCAGTATACCTCATGAATAAGCTCCAAAACATCCAGCATTGCTACACAAGCTTATGAGGCATTAAGCATTGGCTGAAGTGCCACACAACCCACATACCTTTGGCTTGGGTTATCTGCCCACCAAAGACGATTGGATAAGGAAAGGCAAGGAGATGGCTGGGTGAGCCAGAGCGAAGCAGGCAGGGAAGCCTTTTGAATTAATGCACCGACCCATCCAGGGTACCCTAAACGGACGCTTCGTCCGAGAGGGGGAGGACTTTCCGTTTTGTGGCTTCCCAGAGCCATGGGTGAACGCGGAGAGGAAGCGCATGTCGGGGTTTGAGATCTTCTTCGACCTGCAGTTATCCGAGGATGACGTTTTCGAAGAGCAGATGAACCTATTAGCTGAGGCTGAGCAGAACAAAAAAGTGAAGTCTGAGGACGTTGAAATCAAAATGGGGGTAGCACTGGCTTGTCTACTTTCAGATCCTCCGATCGAACAAAAGTGCTTGGGGAATGACTTCTCGGTGTCCATGATCGGGAATAAAACGGTTGCGGGCCTACCAGCAAACATTTTGGATGCATCCATCGCACCCTCTCTCATTTGGCAGTATGAAGGGGGATTTTTATTAGGCAGCACCGGGTCAGGTAGTGAGCCAGAATCTGATTCCACCAAGTCTTGTGAGTCGGAATCAGGTTCCAGCTCAACTGAGTACGAGTTTGGTATTCCTGGGGGTGACAACCCGGATGCCACAGTCCAGTCCCGGTCGTCTTTTTCTTTCTCTTTTGAGTCTGTTGTAACAGAAGAATCGGACGGTTTAGACGTGCTTAATGAGAATGATGTGGATGTGGTTTTTGAGTACTTTTCTGTACCTTTGATTTATTGCTTGAATCAGGACTTTCAAAATTTTGGCAAAAACGACGAGGAAGAAATTCCTCCAGTTTTGCAACGATTGATTGATCAAGAGCAGGAAAGATTTGTTAAACCTTTAATGGATGAAATCACTACTGTGAATGTCAGTACTGAGAAGGACCCGCGGCTGGTCCAGATCGGGTCCACGTTGTCTTCGGAGGAACGCGAGCGCTTAGTCGCTTTATTAAAAGTTTTCAAAGATGCTTTCGCGTGGTCCTACGAAGACATGCCTGGAATCGATCCTGAGATTGTACAGCACCGGATTCCTCTTGACCCCAAGGCCCGACCCACCAAACAAAACTCAGAAGGATCCGCCCCGACTGGGCCATCAAGATTAAGGAAGAGGTCACCAAGCAAATTGACGCAGGTTTCCTACTGGTATCCAAATACCTGACTTGGTTGGCCAATATTGTTCCAGTGCCGAAGAAGGATGGCAGGATCCGGGTATGCGTGGATTTCAGGGACTTAAACAGAGCCAGTCCGAATGACGACTTTCCCTTGCCCCATATTGATGAGTTGGTGGACTTCACAGCGGGGCATGCTTTGCTTTCGTTCATGGATGGCTTCTCAGGCTATAATCAGATAGTGATGGCACCTGAAGACCGGGAAAAGACTGCATTCACCGCCCCGTGGGGGACTTACTGCTACAGAGTGATGCCGTTTGGGTTGAAGAATGCTGGAGCAACATATCAACGGACTGCGACCACAATATTGCATGGCATGATCCACAAAGAGGTTGAGGTGTACATGGACGACATGATTGTCAAATCCAAAGAAAGAGAGGGCCACTACACCGCCTTGCAAAAGTTCTTTCAAAGGATCAGAGAATTTCGGTTGCGGCTGAATCCTTAGAAGTGTACGTTTGGTGTTATAGCGGGAAAGATGCTGGGGTTTCGGATTACACAGAGAGGTATCGAAGTCGACCCTTCCAAAATCAAGGCCATCTTAGAAATGCCACCACTAAGGGCTGAAAAGGAGGTGCAAGGCTTTCTGGGTAAAGTGCAATTCATAAGGCGGTTTATCTCAAAATTAACCTTGACTTGTGAACCACTTTTTGGTCTCTTGAAGAAAGGAACGAAGTTCTAGTGGGACGGCCGATGCCAAGCTGCTTTTGAACAAATCAAAGAATACTTACAGAACCCACCCGTGTTGTCACCGCCAGAGCCGAGGAGACCGTTGATATTGTACCTTTCAGTGACTGAGACTACAATGGGCTACATGCTCGCGCAAGAATCAAAGGACAAGGTGGAAAGAGTCATCTATTACCTGAGCAAGAAGATGCTAGAGTATGAGACCCGTTACACACCGTTGGACAAGGCTTACTTAGCCTTGGTATGGGCTACCAAGAAGCTCCGGCACTACCTGTTAGCTCACTCTGTAATGTTGGTTTCACGACTGGATCCCATCAAATATCTTTTCGAGAAACCAGCACTTACGGTTAGGCTGGCTCGTTGGTTGTTGTTGCTTTCCGAATTCGATATGAAATATGTGACGCGCAAGTCAGTTAGAGGAAGAGCAATGGCAGAATTCTTAGCCGATCACCCGGTGGAAGGGGGTGAAACAGTTGAGTACTTATTCCCAGATGAGGCCATTTTGCATATCGACGATGAAACTTAGACGATGTACTTTGACAGAGCGTCAAACCAGTACGGGTATGGGATAGGGGTGTTGCTGATACCGCCTGACAATTCTCGTATCCCTCTAGCCTTCAAACTCTGATTCAAAGTCTCAAACAATGAAGCAGAATATTGTAGACACCCCATTTTTGACCGTCCTCAAGACTTGTACGTCACCGTTTGAACACTCGGTGATTATCCATGTTTGTGTTCGTTTGGAGTTCCCGGAGGTCTCGGCTCATGCGCCTTGCCTCAGGATCCCCGAACTCGACCGTTTAGTGTATGGTTTTGCACCAAACACTTGCATCTTGTCCTTGAGAGGCAGGGTAGGGCTTGTAGACCATCCCCAATTTTTTAAAAAAGTGGCTAGAGGCCACCGGCTAGTGTTTGCTACCACCGGCAATGTTTATTGCCGGGCGGCACTATTTGTTGCCGGCCAGCATTATTTTGTGCCGGCCGGCACTCTTTTTGGCCAAATGCATTGTTTGGACCGGGCCGATTGTGTTCATCTGCTTTTGCAGATTTTTAGACAGCTGTCTTGCTTTTGCTCCCTCCAACACGTGTATGGAGGGGATCTCCCTCTTTGTAAAGCTTGTTCTTGTAAACTTTACAAGAACATATAGAGGGAGGCTCTCTCTTAACAAGAGGGGAGGACTTAGGTTAGAAAGAGAGATATTTTGGGAGCAAAAAACAGCCATTTGTGAGCTCTTTCTAGGGTTTGAGTATATACATTCTATACTCCTTTCCCTCTCATTGTTCACTAGGGCTTTTTGTCTTACTATTGCACACATAACACCTAGTGTCACCTTTCCTCTTGAGCTGAGTTCTAAAGGGTTTTTGAGATTTTGGTGGGATTCAGCTAAAGGAGGCCATTGAGCATCATCTTGTTGAAGAAGCTCAATGGTGAGAATCTAGTCCCATTTGTCCCCCTTTTTTGCATTATTTTATACCTATCTTGACTTTTTGTGTGCTATTGTATAACATAAAAAAGTTCTGTTTTTAGACCTCTTTGTTGATTTATTAAAGAGTGCTTTGTTGTTTGCAGGGTAGTTTGGACCACCTTAGGCCTTGAAAGGCCTCATTTGAGCCATTTGTGATTAGCTCCGGGATTTGGTGTTTGGGTCTCTCACCACTGAAATCTTGAGGGATTCAGTGCGTGAAGTGAGCCTTGAAGTCCAGAAGGAGAGGGCCACCCCCTCTCCTTGTTGTCCTTGAAAAAGGGCATATTTTGGCCTCTTGAAGAGAGCATATGACTTGAGTGTGTGTTGAGCATATTTGGTCTGTTTTTCATGCATATATCCATAATATACATATTTTAAATTGGTTTTGACTCCATGCAATTGCTTAGCATAGTTGCCTGCTAATGCCATTTTATGCCTTAATGTGCCTTAGGTTGTTAGCCTTTGTTGGAGCATGTTTTAGGCTTCCTTGATGAATTAGTGCTTATTTGCCATGTTCTAGGTCTGGTCCTAGATTGCCGGGTCGAATTTGGCATGCTGATTAGCTCCACTTTTGTATTGGGCTTGTTGGCCTTGAGTATGTGCATGTGTAGCATAATCTTTTGCATCGATTTTTGGTGATTTGGGGTCCCCCACATGTTATTTACAGTCCCATTTCCATTGCTGTTTGATGCCTTGCATGCTCTGTTTAATGCTTTGAAAGCGTGTTGTGTAGCATTGCTCCATCTTTTGACCATTATTGCATGCCTTTGTTTTTGGTCATTTAGTCCATTAAGTGGTTCCTTAAGGCCTTGTTATGAGTACCCCAAAA